TGTTTCCAGCCTTATCTTGGCTCTAGTGGCTTCCTCGAGTTTAGACTCAAGTTCGGTGATTTGTGATTTAAGATTATCATTTTCAGAAAGACTTTGATTTAGTTCGATTGTTAATCTTTTGAAAATCTTTCGGACCTTGCCTTTAGAGAGGGAATCAAATTTAGAAAGAAAGCTCTCCAAATTTACCTCGAAATTCTCTTGGTCGGATTCTACATCGGAATTAGCCATGAGGCACAATCCAGCATGATTTAGGCCCTTTTCTTCTTCTTCTTCTTCATCATCGGATGAGTCTCCCCAGGCTGCCATCATTGCCTTTTTGAGGTCTCTATTGAATCCTTTATCTTCACCGGACCTCCGATGGGAACTGGTCTTGTTCTTGTCGTAGGTTCTATCATTTTTCTTTTGAGGACAATCTTTTGCCCTGTGCTCAAAGGAACCACAAACGAAACAACCTTGGTTATTAAAAGATTGGAAACCCTTTTTACCCTGTTTATTTCGGTTGCCTTTGAATTTACGGTACATCTTTCCGAATTGCTTGGCGAACATGCTCATCTCATCTTCCGATTCACTTCCGGATTCTTCTTCTTCTTCTTGAGCCTTGAGAGCTATTCCTCGCTCTTTTCTCACATTTTCTGCATCTTGTTCTTCTTGTAGGCCTAGCTCATATGTCATGAGTGAGCCGGTCAAGTCTTCTAGCGTCATGGTAGAGAGATCTTTAGCTTCTTCTATTGTTGTAGTTTTAGGCTTCCATGCGGATGGCAGGCTTCTCATAACTTTTCTCACCTGATCTTCTACAGTAATATCTTTTCCAAGTGCTGAGAGCTCATTGATAATATTAGTAAAACGTGTAATCATATCCCTAATTGATTCTTTAGGCTTCATCACGAATAATTCGTAATTACGCATAAATATGTCAATTTTGGATCTTTTTACACGCGAGGTACCCTCATGCGTAATCTCAAGTAGATCCCACATTTGTTTTGTGGATTTGCATCCAAGAACACGGTTGTGCTCAGCCGGACCAAGTCTACAAATCAAATATTTCAATGCTTGAGCATTATGCTCGAGTTTACAATAATCATCAGAGGTATATTCAGATTTGGGTTTAGGGATAACCATACCTTCGGCATCTTCTTTTGTAATGATGTTATCGCCTACTTCAATTACGTTCCATACCTGGTAGTTCTCAGCCTTGATGAAGTTCTCCATTCGACTCTTCCAGAATTGATAAAATTTGCCGTTGAACAACGGTGGTCGTTGAGTCGAGTATCCTTCCTCCAATCGTTCAACCGTATTCATGCTGCCGGATCTCTTCCCAAGGTTTTAACCTTTCTGTGGTGAAGACCGGCTCTGATACCAATTGATGAAACGGTTAGCAACACAAGAGGGGGGTGAATTGTGTGTGTGTGGAACCGTGACAGTTTTTCGCACAGTTCTAGTGTGGGGTCCAGGGAATTACGAAATAGTAAAGTGCACAAGGATTTAACGAGGAAAAATCCCTTGGCTCAAAGGGATTAAAAAACCTCGACCTCCCTCGGAGGAATTTGAACAACTCCACTAAAAAGCCTTTGAATGATTACAAGGGAAACTCTCCTAGTCTACCCTTGAGCCACCCCAACTCTATCCTCTCTAGGAAGAGTTATGCATCTCTACCTTGTGGGTAGAGAGCCTCTCAGCTTTACAACAAAGCTCTCACAACACACTAACCAACCCGAGGATGCTACACTTATCCAATCCTCAAAAACCCAATTACAATATGAAGAAGGGAAAAAGAAACTCTGTCTGGAACTCCGTGAGCAGGTTCAGGTGCCTTGGACTTAGTGAATATTCTCGTGTATATTTCTCAATAGAAGTTCGGTCAAACACACCCCTTTCGTCTGGTCTTCAGTCCAATATATATAGCATCCGTAGCCTCTCCTTTCCTTTTATTCAAAAGATCTTCCGGGTCTCAATTATGGTGATCCTCGGTCAACCATATATATGGAAGTATATTATGAGTAAATCACTCAATAACAAAACAGATATGGAGAATATTACGTATCACATATAAGGAGAATATTTTATTCTCCTAATATAAGCAACCAACGGACATTATGTAGCAACAACATATTTATATAATCAATGATTAGTTCTCTTTAACAAGTTTGAATATGTAACGATCATATAAGTAAGATATTCAAATAAGATGCTACAGATCATGCAACCCAAGATACTTTCCAAAATTTATGACTTTTTAACATTAAGTGATAAGGAAATATTTACTCAGTGGATCTAAATATGCTACGGTCAATTTGTGCAGGAAATTTATGTAGCATAAATAATGATTCTTTCCATAAGCTATATAGGCCAACTCATAGAGGTGAGTGCTTAGTCGTATTCGGAAAGATATATAAATTGTGCCACGTATACTAGGAATATGCATGATCAATCTAGGCATGTAGATGAGGTATTATCATGCAGGTACATATTAATTTATTCATTATGCACAACAATCAGTCATATAGATCAGAACTAAGTATAGTTCCAATTCTCGTTCCTAATGGAACTGAGAGCAGTTCTGTCCGTCATTCCACCTACATGGTTAGTCATCAACAAAACAACATATTCAACAGAGAGGGAGGCGGTCGAGTAGTGGATAGGTTAAAAAATTTAAAACCAATTAGAGGCGCTTCAGAGTATACAAGCGCCGCAAGCATCGGTTAATTTTTTTTAAATGGTTTGAGGCGCTTTTTTACGAGAAGCGCCGCACGCATCGGTTAATTTTTTTTAAATGGTTTGAGGCGCTTTTTTACGAGAAGCGCCGCACGCATCGGTTAATTTTTTTTAAATGGTTTGAGGCGCTTTTTTACGAGAAGCGCCGCACGCTCTCCGTAATTTTTAATTTTGTTTTGATTCGAGGCACTTCTTTTGACAGAAGCGCCGCACGTGGGACGAAAGTAAAAAAAAAAATTAAATAATTTATAAATTAGAGGCGCTTATATGTCAAGAAGCGCCGCACGTGTCTAAAATTCGTTTTTTTTAAAATAACCAAGGCGCTTTCTGTTTAAAGCGCCTCAAATGAAGCGCCTCCGAATAACATTTTTCCACTAGTGAAAGTGCTATATTAAGACATCGGTTACTCCTCGTATCAAGTTGACCTTTTAGGATGGAATCTCAGATCTTAACACAAGTATTAACGTGTCTAATAAACGGATCGTTCCATTCAAAGTAGAGATATTACCCAAAATAGGACTAAAACAGTTTGAAAATTCCAAAATAGGACTGTCATATTTTTATTCACAAAATAGGACTAATTACTGTCATGTTTTGGCAGTACCAGACTTCAAACATGGCAGTATTTTCTAAACATGGCAGTAATTAGTCATATTTTGGGAATAAAAAACATGACAATCCTATTTTGGAATTTTAAAACTGTTTTAGTCCTATTTCGGAAATAATCCCTTCAAAAGTAACGTTTGACAAAATCATATGCAGTTGTAACGTGCGACCCATGCAGGCTCTATACATAACCTCACATGCAAAGAGGTTTGGTCAAACACTCGTAAAGGCTGAAAAGTCAAACCAAACTTCAAATTGAGAACTTTTAACAATCATTATAATCATGATCGTCTTCTTTTCTGTACATGATGTTACATAACTTGATACACCGTTAATGGACGGCAGTGTGTATTAGTGCAATATTTATATATAGCTGAGTAGTCTACACCGTTGGTTACGTGAAACACGCTGCTTGTAATGTATCATGATTCACGGTTATAGTTGTGACCAATCATTTAGGAGTTATTATGGACTTAAGGGTGAAGTTTCGATTTTGCATAACCAAAATTCAACTTATCGAAAATAATGGAACTTGTATATTCATTATTTTCTTTGCCATTTTCAGTATATGTTCGTAGTATATATTTAAAAGTTATAATTAAAATGAGTTTTATCAAAGACCCGAAAGATAAATAAATTAGCAATCCGAGATACGAAAGATGAAATATATCGGTATAAGACTCGAATGATATATGAAAACCTATCAATCTAGGACATAACATTTCATAGGTTTTGATAAACTAATTTTTTATTAATTTCTTTGCTAATTTTTGATACTTTTCTTTGCAAAAGTTTATTATCTTAATAAAACTAAATAATATTTAAAATAAATTGAAAAATCATGACAAGTTAGGTCATAGATTCACAGTTTTCAATCATTCAGATCCTAAATTGATAGTTTTCCATCATTCAAATACTATATCGATACATTTCATCTATCAGATCTCGGATTGATATATACTTCGTTTATCTTTCAGATTCCAGATTGATTAAATTTGTTATCATTGACTACTGAAAGTCAATATAACAAATCCTTCTGGAGATGAAGTTAATACTCAAAAGAAAATGTAAATTTGTGAGTTCCCTCTGTAATCTTATACTACGTATTACTCCCTCCGTCCCCCTGTTATTGTCCCATTGCGGTTTACGATGCTTGACCGACGATAAAGCAACCAGATCCCTGTCCGCACTCAAATTATTTTTAGAAAAAGAAAATTACATATTCAGAAACTACATTAAAAGATTTACAAAGTCGCAAAAACCAGAATCAAATTTGATAAAAATCTGATATATAAAGTAAGAGATTAAGAGTGATTTGTGTTGACCAAGTGAATAGGAAATGGGACAATAACAGGGGAAGGAGAGAGTACATTTTATCATAATCTTATTGAATTGGGTTTCATATATTCAGTTGATTAGCCAAAATTTTAGGATTGAGACAATTTCCGCATGACCAAGTGGGCACTGAATATGATAAACTTGATGTGAAAATTTAAAAAAAAACGTAGAAGGAAAAAGGAATTGCGATGCATGAATTAAGAAAATTTAGCAGCTAGGACTCTAGGAGGTAATGAGTATTATACTAGTATTAACAAAAAAATTATAAAAAATCTAGTAGGAATAGGCGTCTAGTTTCAACCACTGGTAGCAATGAATTAATATAGCTAAATCTAATTCTGTCATTCATTTTCATCGTCATCATCGCCATGGCCCATGGCAATTCTTCCATGATATATGAACAAATAAATTTCTAATAAGCAACTGTACACATGTGATTAGATGAAATCACCTTCAATTATCAAATACTTAGCCATCAGCCATGCACAACTTTTTGTAAAGGATGGCGTAGTAATATAATAATTATGTAAAGGGTATCTAAAAAAATTAGTAAGAAAGAAGAATTCAAGCCTTGATCTTGAAGCAAGAAGTTAAATGAGAGTGGCGGGAGGCTTCTTCGTCGATCAGACGGCGGATACGGCGGAAGTCCTCCACACGGCAGGGGATGTTGATCGGACCGTCGTGATCGAATCCATACTCTTCTTCGGCTTCTTTTAGAAGCAGCGAAAACAAAGGGTGGTTCAAGTACATCACTGGGATCACAAACCTCTGTTGCTCCTCCGCCGCGCCGCCGACAACCACCGCCACACACCCTTTGGGTATCGGCGGTGGTTCGCTGTGGTGTGTCTGTTTGTCTCCGCCGCCCATTTGAGGGCTCTTGGTGATGGGTGTATTTTTTTTTGTGAGAGATTGTAATTGGAAGAAAAGGTGGAGTTGGTGGTTTCGTCTAGTGCTTGTACATATGGCTTCGTCAACTTTTGGTCATGTGTGCTTTTTTTAAAACATGACTGTCCTTTATAGTTTATGCCTAATAATGATCTTTTAAAAGAAAAGAATTTAAGGGCTATTTATGTACGACCCAAACATTATTAATACAACGTGCCATTATATTTTGTCATTTAATTTGAATTTAATAAAGTCTTCTCTTTAATTAGATTAAAAAATGATCTATTTTGGTTTTGGTTGATGTGATTTATCACTACAAAAAAACACGGGATGGACATAATTTTTTTTGGCAGTGATTTGCCGAAATTGGCAGAAATTTTAGCAGGTATATGACGAATTTGTGCCAAAAAAAGTTTGATATGAGCTATTTGACACGAAATTGTCGATAAATCACTGTCAAATATGTGTTAATCCCGTAACTTTTTTGTAGTGTAGTATAGTTTGATCTATTAAGTCTAGTCTGGTCTGATATAAAATGGATTGTTCTAGTATGTTTAAGATTGATATAGTATATTCTGATCTAATCTAGGTCGATATGTTTACGATCAATACGGTATGTTCTGAACTGAATATTAAAATTAGTCGGATTAAAAATATCGTATGTACGAATATGACATGATACTTCACAAATTAAAAACATCCTATGTACGAACTGAAGTAGTCCCTTCGTCCCATATTTATCTCCTGAAATACAAATGGCACACAGATTAAGATAGTGGGAAATGTGTGGTGGAGAGTTGTGCAGAGGAAAGAGAAATGTGTAAGAACATGTAAAAATGGTTGTATAATTCCGGAACAGATCGAAAAGGAAAGTATGAAGATAATTCCGGGACGGAGGGAGTATAATTTTTCAAATTGCATCCATGTGGTTGTTTTCTTCCCCAGGCGGAGGCAGGATAATCTATTGGGGTGGACAAATACAAATAATATTTTTGAAAAAAATTCTACACAAATTATTTAACTTAATTTAATAGTTTATAAACAAATGAAATTCGGTGTGGGACGGGGCCTAGGTTGATCCCTCTAGCTACACCCCTCTTTTCTTCCTGAACAAATTGGCTAGTCCTATTTACTCATTTTGAGGGAAGTTTTACTTGATTTATTCTTTAAATAAGAGTATATAAGTGGAGTATCCTAGAATGGACTCTATATCGAAGTGGATATAGAGTCAGTCAACTCATACAAATAAAAGTAACTTGAATCGCTAAACCTGAAATGGACAAATTATAGCCTAAAATTACCGGATCTGAAACCATGTCTATAAAAAGAACTCAAAATATCCAAACATTCGAACATCCAAACTCGAACTAAAACAAAAATAAGTACTACTAACGAAAAAATAATATTGAAATAAAATATTTCTACAAAACTTTTCCTGGTATGGGGTGATTCGAGATGAGGACGAGCTCTTGCACGAATCAACACTGATACAAACTCCCAGCCACAACCCGTTCATATGCTGACACTATCTCCTCCAACGTAGTTGCAATCCTAAGCGTTAGAACACTTAAATCAGTATAATTTGTCGCTTCAACCGTATATTGATAGAGACCGCGAAAAATCTCAACCCCTACAAAGAGAGAAGACTCCTAAAATAGACTTATTCACTCATATTTTGTGAATCTTGGCACTATTTTATTTCTTCTTTTAATAAGAGTAAATAAGTCATATTTTAAGTCAACAATTTCTTCTTATTAGAACTCAATTCAAAAGATGGAATTGGCCACTCCAAGTGCCCTCACACTTGACTAGATAAAGTGATGGAGAAGTAAATCATGTTATGCGCATAAGTTCTGAGTGAGGTGGTTCAGAGTCACATGCATGCGCGCGCACAACTTGAGTGAGGTGGTTCAAAGTCTTGTGAATGCGCACAATGAGCTAACCACCATGCACATTGGATGAATAATTGAAACTCTCACACGTCCGCTGCCGGGGATTGCACATGAGACCTCAATCCAACTATCTCACTCAACCACCATTGAACTACTTGTGCGGGTTCCGTTTTTATTAACGTGAATGCCATACATGGGTAGTCATATATAGGGTCTGATTCCAATGAAAAGTAGTTTTAAAATACAAAATGCAAATCCCTCCATTCTTAAGCATCTGCGGTGCACTTATGCATTGAGAATTTTTTTTGTCACACTGTTAGTCATTTACGATACACTATTACACACTAGAATGTAGAGAAATTGCACTATAGGAGTAAACATAAACATATATGCACAAATAGGAGTAAAACTTAAAACTTCCTTCAATACGAGTAAACATTAATTTTGTACTCTTAATATACGTGACCTAGTTAATTCTAAAATATGACTTATTTGATCCTATTAAAAATCTAAGTTCATTCACTGGAAACGATACCTTTATGAGGGCCATTTAATTTTAAAAATAATCTAAGTTCATCCCAACAATATTAAAATATTAAAAAAGTTATTTTTGTAAAAAAAATAAAAAAAAAATAGATAGACTGTATTTAAAAATATAAAAAGTTATGCATGGCTTTCCCGCAGCCTCAGTCATCACCCAACAATGTCACCTCCGATCGGCGAAACAAATGCCATTTTATGTAAAAACTGCCTTTTTTCTTTGAAAATGCCAAAAAGAAGGCAATTTTACTCTTTGAAAATGCCATATTTTCTCAAAACCTGCCATCTTGATGGCATTTCGGGGAAATGTTGGCATTTTTTGGTGGTCGGAGCAGGTGGTGCTAGGAGCCACCGCCTACATTTTTTTTTAAATTTTTTTCATTTTTTTTTAATTTTTTTTTAGTTTTTTTTATTTCTTTATTTTTAATAATTTTTATTTCATTTAATACGTTGTATATTTTATTTGATATTTTTTTGTGTTTTTTTTTGTTTTTTTACAATTTTATTATAAATTAATTAGTCTTAGAGTATTTCTTTTATGTTTTACGTAGTAGTTATTAATAAAAGTTGTTGGGGCTTGGGACTTGGGTAGAGGTATACTTGTCCAAACACTAAAGTTACTCGTATTCAAAACATGATACTCCTATTTTTGCATTTTGCCTATATTTTACTCCTATTTGAGGAATTCTCTTTAGAACGTAATGTTTCCATTATCATCGATCATAGACTATCACGTGGAGGGAAGAACCAATAAAGCTTATTGTCCAAATTGTAATGGCTGGTCTCCCGTCGTTACACATGCCGTTATTTCATCTAGACTCCACATTTCAGCCATTTTAGTGATTTTCTCATGTAGTATTCACTGGTTTGAAATACCAAACTTTGTTCATATTTAACACCCTTAAATATCCTCATGTAGTATTCACTGGTTTGAAATATTTATTGACCAGACATAAAATATTCTCCTTTTTGATACATCAGAAAGGATATACTTATTGAAGGTTTTAGTACTTCCCCTTACATTTTATTTTTGTATATAGAAATAATTACATAAATATGACCAAAATAAAGATGATTTACAAAAATATGATTAATGACTTGAGTAGTAATGAAATCATAGTAATTCATGTTCATGTTTTGAGCTTAAATTATCACAAAATCATATTGTAGTAATGAATAGTCATATTTATGTAAATATGTTTTATTTTAGTAATATTCTTGTAAAAAACTCTGTATATATTGGGTGTTGAATCATGGAGTGGCTATAAACTATTGATTTGGGGTTGGGGCTTGGGTTGTTTAATTACTTGCTTAGCTTCTACTGAACCTCTAACTTTATTTCCCTTTGAAGATAAAATTTCAATTTTATTTGACTTGACTTCAATCTGTGGTAGGTGTTCAAGTTAATGTTCAATGAGTTAATTAGCACCACTTGCATCCTTTGTACCTATATCTTGTAGGAAGGACACTAATTTTCACTTATTGTACACACTTCACACTACATTTAACTTATTATCATTATCCAAATAGATGATAAAAGGATATATACAAACGAGTTATTCATGGGGAATGCTAATGATCTAAAATCAGAAAGTTTGATATGAAAGTAATTTGTGTTTGTGAATTGGTTGCTTCTTTGGTTTTCAATTGATAATCTTAGTGATTAATTCTACGAACAAGATATTAAGGGTAGGTTAAGAATTTTTGACATAAATAGTGTGAAAACTTTTATGGACTTTTTGTACATAGCTCCTACCACAAGACAAAATTGTGTCAATGGAAGATACGAGCTAATGTTATCATGTGTGTTCAATATTCGGCCATTCAAACGGATACGCTGTGCATTTTATATATGCAACACTTTGACTTTTACACTATTCACATGTTCTATTTTGACTACGTTTTATTTATTAATGTAATAATATTATTTTATGAAAAAATATTGTTAAACTTGTCTCATTGTAAATTTTCATAATCTAATTTTTTTTAATTTTTTTACTAATACAAAATCATTTATATTAATGGTCAAAGTTGTGTCTCGACAAATGTGAAATGTTGACTGTTGCATTTATTTAAGAAAGAAGGAAATAACTATGATTGCATTTGTATATCAGCATATTTTCTCTTTTGAAATCAATTTTTTTCTAAGTAGTTTTTTAAATGATGTAAAAATGTAACTAGAATCGACATCCTTTGAATAGAGCCACGTGTCTCCACTCGATTCGTGATACGTTCAAGATAAGTCGCACGTGTTTAAGATATAAAATTGTTGAGTGCTTGATAATGCAAACCCAAACTCATATTGATTGCACCTAGGATTCGTCACCTAAAGGCTCGGTTGCAAGGACTCGATCATAATGTCGCCGCCCACCCCACCGTAGAGGAAACACCAATTTTCATATATACCCAACTTTTGATGGATGTACATCTGACTTTTGATAATGCTAAGCAATTGTTTCATAATTTTTTTCGTGAATAATACCAATATCCTTTATGAGCATCTCTAATTCTCTATTACTCTACTAATTTAATATAGAGCTTGTTTGGTAATAGTGTAATACTGAAATTGGTTGAATCGGTCGATACTATTGAAATTCATGAAATTCTGGGTGATGTGACTGAAATAGCTGACTATGTTGATTTATGAAAAAAT